ACAAAAGTCCCAGAAATAGGGAGGTGCTCATAACTTCTACTCTGCCTTAGTCAAACCACATATGGAAGGAGGAAGAAAAGAAGGGAATAAGCATTATTCATCCACCTACTTTTTGCCAAACCCTGTTGCTGAGAGTTTTACGGTAACATTTCATTTGATCTTGAGAATTGCCCTCAGTTTTACACATTACAGTGTTGTTTAATCATTTTTCTGTCATGTCCAACTCTTCACGACCCCATTTGGGGCTTTCTTAGTAGAGATACTGGAACAGTTTGCCATTTCCTTCTCCAGCTCATTTCACAGATGAGGAAATTGAGGCAAACAGGGTAAAGTGACTTGCCCAGGGTCACATAGCTGGTAGGTGTCTGAGGCCAGATTTGAACTCATAAAAATTAGTCTTCTTTCCTCCAGGGACAGCACTCTATCCACTGTGCCATTTGGCTGTCCCTTTAGCTAGTACATTAAATATGCTAGAAATAAGAATGATAAAAAGCTTCAAGTTCATGCCTTATAAGGATCAGTTGAAGAAAATGGGATTGTTCAGCTTGGAGAAAAAATGTCTTGGAAAGACAGAAGAACTGTCTTTGAGTGTTCGAGTGTCATGTGGAAGAGGGATTGATCCTGTTTGGCCCTATAGGGCAGAAGTAGGGGAAGAATATGGAAGCGACATCAGGCTTGATGAGAGGAAAACTTTCCTAACAATTAGAGCTGCCTCAACGTGGAAAAACTATCTTAGCTGGTTGTATGTTTCCTCTTATTGGAGTTTATGCAAAGCTCAGATGACCACTTATAGGGTATGTTGTAAGGGGTTTCATTTTTGGCTACAGGTCTCTTCTGAGCACCTTTCCAGTTCTGAAATTGGGTCATTCTGTCACATATAAAAAGAGTATTTAAGTCTATGAACAATAGCAAAGAAAGAAATTAACCCCAAAAGTCAGTGAGTATACAAGTCACTGCATTTCTGTTATCTCGAAAGGAACAAAAGTTGTATCCTAATGTTAATAAGGTAGTAATAAAGTCATAGTTTATATTCACCATGAATTACATTTTTGTTTAATATTGCCTTTATTTATTTAGTTTTAGTCAGCCTGTGTATTGTGCTTTTGATCCTGTTTTCCTCATACTGCATCACTTAGAATCATATATTTCATCTTCCCATATTTATTTGAATTTTTCATATTTATTTGAAGTGGAAAATCTACCAAAGGGAATGGTCTGTATCCTTCTATTAATAATGTCCATCATTTCTCAAACCATGATCATGTAAGTATTCTTATAGGTAAAATGGTGTAATGAAAGACTCTTAGAGAATAAGAAGACGAGTTCAAATTATGACTTTCACTAATTTTAATAAGCTCTGTGAAAGTAGAAGTCCTGCCTTAATTGTCATTTTATCTCCTCTAATGTCTACCACAGCCCTTTACATATTGTTTCTTCAGGCTAAATTTTTCTAGTTCATTTGATGTCTTTTATTATAACATACTGTCCAGGTCCCTTGATCCCCTTTGCTTTGATAGTATCAGGATAAAGAAAAGATTTCTTTGCCTATAAATCAATAGATAAATGTTTGACTCCTTGCTACGTGTAAGACAGTATATTAGACACTGTGGGAAACATAACTTGGAGACATAAGACCTCAGTGCCTGCCCTTAGAGAGCTTCTAATTTAGTTGGAGAGGCAAGACTTGTGTACTATAAAATAGAACTAGAAATATCGGGTAATTATCTACTGTCTGGTTGTTGAACCAAACTTCACTCCTGTGGGCTTGAGTATTTTTTTAACCTGTTTTCTAAGATCTCCTCCATCTCTCACAGTCTATGACTCTGGGCACAGCCCTGCTCTGAAGACCTAAGCAATGCCCAGGATTATACACTCTAAGATCCTCAGGTAGAATCCTTTGGCTTCTTCCTCTCCACTTAGCTAAGGGTAGCATATCATTACTTTTACAATGCTCCTGTTTCTGTTTTCAATTTTCAGATTCTACATGGGAAGAGTAGATCCATAGCTAGAGTTAGAAGGGAACTCAGAGGCCATCCAAGCCAGCCCCCTCATTTTAAGTTAAATAAACTGAGGCCCTGGAAGTTGTGACTGGCTCAAGGTCACATAGGTAGGATTTGAATTCATATCTTCTGTTCTGGAACCATCATTTTTTCTCTGGTACTATGCTGCTAACATTGGAAATAGATTGCAGTCCCTTGTTTACTTAACTTCTATTTAGCTTCCTTAGATATTCAAGGATATCCTCTTTCTTCTTTCTCTATCTTTTATCTACCTAAACCAAGTCATATAGCATTTTCGCAGAATCAATCACCCTGGTGTGTAGCTCCCCATTTTATTTCTTTCTTTCCTGGGCCATCAGGCAGGTGGTTCCCCAGCTTAACCTCTTCAAAGAGGCTGTCATATGGCCAGCAAAGTGAACATGAAGTGGAGCTTTGAGGTTAGGTTCCCCCTAAAATGAAAGTAATTTGGTTTTGTAAGAGTCCCCAGGAAATCCTTTCTATATCCTTTTCTTCCTTCTTTGGCCATTTCTGAAACCTCTAACTGGGAACCTGGTGTGGAACTTGCTTTGGGTTCCCAGATATCAGACATCTGTGGAATCATCTAAGATTTCAGAGACTTTGTCTAGGTGCATAAAGATCCCATGTTTAATCTTTATCACACATCCCCTATGACTGCTGCTGACCCACAATCCTATTTCCAGGCCTTTCTGATAAAACTATGCCCCTTAGAAGGCTAATTGAAACTACGAGAAAGGTGTGAAGTACCCAATGAGTACACTTGGTTTGAGCCCTAGACTATATCTTATTTAGGCCAAGCATTACCTCTTCTCTTTTAGAGGCAGCATGACATAGTATTTCCTGTAGAATCATCATTGGCTTCAAGCCCGAGTGTTAGCTTTTACTAGCCTTATGACCTCCCTGGGTTTTGATGTCCTCTTCTTTAAAATGAAAGGGCTGGAACAAATGAAGAATAACAAGGCTGTGAGAAGTTCAGGTCAATCTGTTTCATCTGTAGTCTTAAAGAAGTTTTTTTTTTCTTTTTAAACCACCCATTCTTTTGGCTTCATTGTCAAGAATAATTTTCCCCATGTGAGGAACTTAAAGTGATAACTGTTATTCCACTTACCCATAAGCAGGCCTGGTTAATGGGGTCCTGGGGCCATTTTGTAATTTGATTTCTCAGACAGTGTGTTTTCTCCTTCCCAGGAACAGATTCCATCCAGGGAAGCTTTAGAATTATTCACACCCCATTTGAGCTCGAAATGGGTGGCATGAGTCATGTAGAGAAAGAATTTCCTCTCCCTGAGACATTCATTAAAATCTTCACCTAGGGACTTCAATTGATTTCATTTCCAAACAACTTTTTCTCTATCAAACAAAGTGAAAACTAGAGGGAACAATAAAATTATTTCCTTTACAAACATCACCCTAATGTGGTCAGGAAAAATGACCCCTTCAGGGTTAAATATAGCCAGAGATTTTTTCCAAAATAGGCAGTATTTTTAAATTGCAAAATTGTCTCCTGTTTAAGAGGTTGTCTCTGACATTTAAGAAGTCTAAGCTCATTTATCCAAGGGAAACAATAATGCAATGGGTTTGGATTTTTATTTGTTTTTCAATGTTATTATTTGTTTCTGGGACTAAAGGGGATAGAATAGCATTCCCTAGAATCTCGGGGGGGGGTAGAATTTATAGAAATGCTGTATAATCTTGTGGATTGTCTGCATGGCCTTAATTGAATTAGCCCCAGATTCTACCAAAAGAAATGACTTTGAAAGTCTCACTATTTTATAATGAAAAGCCTTATACTACATTAATTTCTGTTACTGATGCTGTTTTCTGAATTCCTGATTAAACTATGTGGACTCCCTTAATTATAAACACCTGATCTATGAATGATATCCATGAGTGGCCAATGCAGACTTGTGAAAGGGGATTATGCAACAGAGCACAAGATGTATTTGTTGACCTACCATTGGTGACGTTCTGGGTGGCCAATGGTGCCATGCTGACTAGCAGAAAGAAACAAGAAGGGGAGATGATGGAGAAAGAGACATATTTCTAGCCCTTGTGTTCCCAGTGAGAAAAATAGTACAGACTCAGTGTCATACATGATGGTTAGGTTTCCAGGCCTTCCCACAAAAATCCTATTGAAACCAAATTATCGTAGATATTTACCCCAATTATGGGTTGGTCCAGGGGAATAACCACTGTGTATTACATTGACATTCAAATAATTTTCCCATAGAAATTAAAAACTGTTTCAGAAATGGATTTTTGGACAACAATGAGCTTAAGTTGGGAATTCCTTGTAGTACAGTAGAAAGGCTATGGGATCTGAAATCATAGGAACTGCATTCAAATCCCATCTATGGCACCTACCACCTATGTGACTGAACAAGTCATTTCAATTCTCTGGGCCTCAGTTTCCTTGTATGTAAAAGAAGGTGGTTGTAGTTGATGACTGACCTCTACGATCTTTTCCAGCTCTTCATTTATTATCCTGTGAACCCATTTCTGAAAGGCTTGGCTTCTTCCTTACCATGTTCTACTCCAGCTGCGCTAATGCTTGACTACTGTCCACCACATGCCAGGGAAACCAGGGATAACCACCAAGTCTCCACTTTGACATGATGCCTTCCTTTTCTACCCTCTCCCTTGGTTTGTATACCTCTGATCTGATGTTCAAGTAGGACTATTGCCTTTGGTATGAGGGCTTGTTGAACTTAACCTCTTTCAATGTATAAGATGGACGTAATAATATTTGAGACTACCTACTTCTTGGGGTCAACAGGCACCTCAGATGAGACAATATATTTAAAGTGCTTCACAAATCTGAAAATATGGCAAGGATATTCCAGTGCCTTGTACATTTCTTTCTTTAAATTTTTGACTGTATGATTTCATTGGTGTATGGAATTTTTCGTGAAGAAATTCCCTCTGCCAAATCATATTGGCAACTATTGGGAGATTTATAGTGTCTTGCTTCTTTTCCTGCAGGGCCAAGGAGATTAAGACTAAGTTGGGCACTCTCCTACAGAAGCCCGATGCGACCATCGACTTTATCATACCATATCCTGATAAGCCGGAAAAGCCTGTGAAGACCCAAAAGTGAGTATTGAATAAGCATCAACCACTTCCCTCCAAGGATTGGCACTTTGATATGAATGACCCCTTTCATCTGTAGAATTCCCAAGATTAGTACTTCAGGAATCACCCTTCCCTCCAAGAACCCCCCAGATCTGGCCAGCGAATGAAGTCATAGGTCATCTAGTATCTCACCTGCCCGCGGCATCAAGCAGTGAATGCTGGGGGCTTCTTACAAAACAAAGCAATAGGTCCTTCCTGAGAGGACCAGAGAATATCATGGAAGAGACAAAACTCATGTATATGACATGGCTTCAGAAACTTAACTAAAGGCCCCCAACACATGTCTTACATTTGGGCTCAATGAAATCATTTCACGGGCCACAGATCATGTAGGCAATGGTCTGTCTGGGAAAAGATCTGGGAGATTTAGTCAACTGCAAACTGAGTATCAGTCTATAGTGTGATATTGTGGCAGAAAGACTACCCCCCTTCAAACAAGCATATTCTTAGGCTGCCCTGAAAGTTATACAGTTCAACACTAGGTAGGTCATAATCCCAATGCATCTGTCCCTGTCCAACCATATATGGAGTACTGTGTTCAGTTCTGGGCATCACGTTTAGGGAAGACTAGTAACAAACTGGAGCATACCCCAAGGAAGATGAGTGACATGGTGAGAGGCTTCAGTGTCACAGGAGTTTTAGTTGAAGAAACTTGGGATATTTAGGCTGGAGAAGTCATAGTGCAGAACTATCTTCCAGTATTTTCTGGGCCCTCATGAAGAAGAAGGATTGGATTTGTCCTGCTTGGCACCAGAAAGAGAGAGAGGGATTTGAAACAATGGGAGGCAGTTATAAAGAGGCAATTTTCACCTCCATGTAAGGAAAAAAAAAACCCAAAACCTCTTCCTAACAATTAGAGCTATCCAAAAGTGGAATGATTTGTATGAGGAATAACGGGCTCGCCTTCACTAAGGGCCTTCCAATGGAGTCTGAATACCCGTTTATTGGCTATATCGTAGAAGGAATTCCTGTGTCCTGCTGTGGGATAGATAATCTCTGAAGCCCCTTCCCACTCTGATTCTTTGTAACTCTAACTTTGTGATTCTGAGTGCCTGGGGTCAGGGAGTAGTAGTAAATAGTAGAGTAGAAATCTGAATATAAGTTATCCGACTCCCAGGCTTAATGCTCCTTCCATTAGGCTTTCCTTTCCATTCCTTGGAATGAAAAGAAAATGGAAATGTAACTCAGTAAATCTGGGCTCTGGGCAGTGTGGCATAAAGGAAAGAGCTTTGGAATGAGGACCTCTCTTTGGACCTCAGTTTTTTTATCTGTATGCTGGGTGGTGCAGTGCATAGAGTGCTAGCCCTGGAGTCAGGAAGACCTGAGTTCAAATCCAGCCTCAGACTCTAGCTATGTGACCCTGGGCAAGTCAATTTAACCCTGTTTTGTCTCAGTTTCCTCATTTGCAAAGTGAGCTGGAGAAGGAAATGACAAACCACTCCAGGATCTTTGCCAAGAAAACCCCCCAAAAGGTCATGAAGAGTCAGATATGATTGAAAAACGACTAAACAAACAAAAGACCAAATGCCTCTGCTGTGAGAATCAGTGGCTTTAATACGTGCAGAAACGCTCCTTAGGGAAGGATACTTTGGCCTCATTTTGTAAGGGCAGAGGCTATAGATAGGGCAGGAGGCAATATGACCTAAAAGGCATCCCAAGATCTCAGAGCTGGACGGGACCTTGGAGGCTGTCTGGTCCAACTTATGTCTGCAGAGGCCCGGTTTCCTCAAATATTACCAGACAAATGGCCATCCAGGCTTTGATCGAAGAACTCCACTCAGGGGAATACCTACTACTTCTGAGGTGCTTCTGGGTAACTCTGATTTGTAGGAGGTTTTTTGTTTTGTTTTTTAATTTGTCTCTGGGCAACCTCCACCTGCTGCTGGGGTATAGAGTGTGTTCAAGGAAGACTAGACCCTGTGGCGTGAGGGCTGCTGAGCCCTTTTCAGGGCTGCTTTCCACCTTCAGTGTCCACCTGATCTGCCTAACTTTCTCCTGTGCCTCCAAGAAGCTGTTACATGCTCAGTGGCTACACCAAGTAATCGTTTCAGCAGATGGTTGAACCAGGTTGAGAGTAACCAAGGGGTCTCAAACTGGTCGGTGAGTTAGGGAGGTGTCTACCCCAAGCACAGAAGTAGAACAGGGGAGGAGAACAAATTGATCCAATGGCCATGAAGGCAGCTGAAACAAGCTCTGTGGAATGCTTAGAGATTTGTCAGATGTCAAAGATGCCAAGGTCATCCCCTATATCATCATCAGTTGTCTTGACTCTGTCTTGCCACTGGACTTGACAACTCTGGAAGAGAGAATGAGGCTGACGATTTCATGCAACTCTGCCTCACTTAAATCCAATTTATTCACAAATCAAAAGACATCACCATTTTACCATTTTTACCTATCTCAAAGTCTTGTGGCAGCAGGCAAGTAACAAAGCACAGGTGTGGATAGACTGGGAGCTGTAGTCACAATCTACACACAGGTGGCCCAGGCCATAGGGTCATCTTCTCACTGGAAGCAGCAGTGGGATTTGGCAGCCCCCAGGTGTTTGAGCAGCCCTTTAAGGATTGTACGGCTCACCTCATGGTGTGAGGAAAGGGCTGGAAAAAGGACCCTAAAAATTGTCTGCTTACCCAGCCCTGGCCCAGTTACCATGACAGGCAGGGATTCTATCCTGCATCAAAACACACACACACACACACACACACACACACACACACACACACACACAAGCAAATGTACAAAAACTTCTGCAAAGATGATTCCACTCACCACTGGTACATGGAAAGTGTGCACACTTATAGAAAACAGAAAATCCTGTAGACCTGAAAGATGAACAGCTCTTGCTGTAAGAGAACTCAGCAGGCATCATATCCAAATAGTAGCCCTGAGTGAAATAAGGCTGGCAAAGGAAGGCCAACTTACTGAAGTCAGAGGGGACACATGTTTTTCTGGAGTGGCCGAAGTGAAGGGGAACACCATAAAGCTGGTGTAGGTTCTGTGATCAAAACTAATCTAGTCAACAAGGAGTGAACAACAGACTCATGACAGTGAGATCACCACTTGCAGGAAAATGCCATGCCACTATCATCAGTGCCTGTGCTGCTACCATGAGGAACCCTGATGAGATCAAAGAAAAATTTTATGAAGACCTGGAGACCCTTATCATCAATGTACCAAAAAAGGACAAGCTTATAATTCTGGGTGACTTTAATGTTAGAATAGTCTCAGACTGCCAGATGTGGCAGGGAGTCCTCGGAGGAATGGAGTTGGAAACAGCAACAGCAACAGTCACTTAGTACTGAAGACTTGTGCATCTCATGACCTTCTCATCACCAACACTGTCTTCCATTTACCTAAATGCAATAAAACTTCACAAATGCACTCTTTCAACAAACACTGGAATTTAATAGATATGTGATTGTAAGGAGAAGAGACAGAGAGGATGTGAGAGCAATGAAAACATTGTGTGGCACAGAGGGCTGGACTGATCATAGACTTATCCTCTCCAAACTAAACATTCACATTCAAAAAAATGGCAGCCCCGAGGCAAAATGACTTCCAGAAGAATTGATGTCAACAGATTAGATCATTTCTCTGAAAGGGAACAGTTTGTTGCTAACTTGGGGAGAAAATTGAGTCAACACACAGTTGGCAATGGTGGAGCAGAAAAGAAGTGGGCAGGGCTGAACACTTCCATAGTGTTCTCAACAGACTGTCATCAATCAATGCTGAAACCATTGACTGTTTACCTCAGACTGAAGTTAATCCCTCTCTAGCTGAAGTTCCAACTAAAGAAGAGGTTTTGAATGCCATTAGTCTCCTTGAGTGTGGCAAAGCACCTGGTCCTGATTCTATTCCAGATTTGCAAGGGGGGTGGTCCATTGCTCGTACAAAAGCTGACTGAAAGTTATCTGGGTTACATGGCAAGAGGAAGTTATCCCCCAGGAGTTCAAGGATGCCTCCATTGTCCATCTCTATAAAGGTGAAGGAAACAGATTGCCCAGTGACAATCACAAGGGGATCTCTCTTTTAGTCACTGATGGCAAGATTCTTTCCAGAGACCTTCTTAATGGGCTGATCCTTCACCTGGAAGATGGTCATCTACCTGAAAGCCATTGTGACTTCAGAAAGGGCTGAGGAATGGTTGATATGGTGTTTTCTGCCCAACAGCTTCTAAAGAAATGCCAAGAGCAGAACAAAAGTCTGTACACAACATTTGTTGATTTGACCAAGGCCTTTGATACTCTCAGTTGTGAGGGCTTATGGAAAATTATGTCAAAATTTGATTGCCTGGAGAAGTTCATCAGTATTGTATGTCAATGTCATGATGGCATGCTTGCCCAGGTTCTGGATAATGGACAACACTCTCACACTGTCCCAATCACCAATGGAACAAAACAAGGCTGTGTAGTTGCTTCCATGCTTTTTAGCATCATGTTCTCAGCCATGTTGTCAAACATCTTCAATGAAGTTGAACACCATGTCAAGATTAGCTATTGCACTGATGCTAAATTCTTTAACTTGTAAAGGCTACAAACCAAGACCAAAGTGGAGGGAGTGCTGGTGCATGACTTTTTTGCTTGCAGGTGATTGTGCACCCAATGCAGCCTCTGAAGCTGAAATGCAACAAAGTATGAATCGATTGATTCTTTGTTGCTTGTACTAATTTTGGCCTAACAATTAACACAAAGAAGACAGTAATGCTCCATCAGCCAGCATCATACCATCCATATGTGGAACCATTGGTTACAGCAAATGGAGAAGTTTTGAATTCTGTGGATAAATTCACTTACCTTGGCAATATACTTTCTGGGGATGTACACACTGATAATGAGGTTGATGTGCGCATTGCCAAAGCTAGCTCGGTGTTTGGGAGGCTCTGAAGGAATGTGTGGGACAGAAGAGGTATTAGACTGATTACCAAACTGAAGGTCTACAGAGCTGTGGAAACCTCACCAGGA